GACTGGTGCCCTCCATGTTGATGTTTGAATTGCTTTCTTTGCTTTTCATTTAAATATGTTTTATTGTGAGTTTGAGGACGAAAACTTTCTCAAGAGATAAACTAATTTTTCAGTAAGATAGTGTATTATCATTGCTCCCACACTTAAGTCACTTTCGGTATGGATCACGAGTTTTTCACTGCTAGTCTTCTTCAGCGTAGTCTGGCAAGAAACATTTTGGGTCAAATGGGAGGGAAGTTGAACAATCTAATTCTTACTCTCTGGTTTATTTTTCAGATTCAAGCCCCAGCCGCTGAAAGTTGTAAGGAGCTGTACAACACAAATGGGTAAGTTCTTTCCATCCAGCAGAACGCATTTTACAATAAATTAAAATTAGAGAATGTGTTTTGATAGTATCCCAAGCTGCCTTGGGTTCGACTATCGCTGCAGGTTATAGAGACTCTGAATCGATACCTTACATATACCTCTTCTTTCAAGAATTGATTATATTCGTTGTTTGTTATTTTCCTCACTTTTCAGATCTGATGTCAACAAGGCTTACCCTCTGAAGCTGGGGAAAAAGATCCTTCCAGTTTACTGTCACATGACAACACTTGATGGATGTGGGGGTGGTGGTTGGACTCTGGTGATGAAAATGGATGGTTCAAAGGTAAACATGAAACGATTCTAATAAAAATTCACGAAAAGATAGTTTCCTCTCTTCTTTAAATTATTAAAATGGTTCATAAAAATTCTTGTTCAAAAGTGTTCATTTGAATTTTGCAAATCTAAATCTATCATTTTTATAAAAAAAAAAAAGAGAAGTGAAAAGATTTTTAAATCAGTTGAGTTCGCGCGTTCTATTCCTGTTCAATATAGACGAAATTTGGAGTAATTGTACTTTAAAAGGCATAAATCACATGCTTCAATTAAACAAATTCTTGTCCAGCAGACTCCATATAACTACAACCTCCAAGGGGAATTAAAGAGGGCCAAGATTTTGGAGGTAGTAACCGGGATCGAAATGGGAAAGGCCCGGTATCTACTGTGTTTCTATTCATGCATTCGAATTTCATTGTGGTACAAAGATGTTGAACGAAAATGAAACGTTTTGATTTGTTTCATTAACTAGGACACTTTTCATTACAATAAATTAATTTGGACCAACAAGCTAGGATACAACCCGTCTGCTGGCTCGACTGGGTTTGACGGGAATGAGACAATGTTACCAACATACTGGGAAATGAAATTCAACAGGATCTGTCTCGGTATGAAAATCGGCAAAAGAGTCAACTTCATCGCCATCAACGAGCCAGCTTCCTCCCTTTTCTCTCTGATCGCTGATGGGAAATTCCGCAAAACCTCACTGGGCAGAGAAAAATGGAAGATGCTGCTTCCTTCAATTGCCTCACTACAATCAAATTGTAACCGGGAAGGATTTAACACATTTTGTGGAGGTTCTGGCGCCCTTCAACCCAGGGCTCGAATCGGTATCCTTGGTAACCAACAGAATCACTGTTACGGCTGTGATTCCAGGATCGGTTTTGGTACTGGAGGACGTCCTGATCACTGGAGCTCGTGTGGAAATGTGGCATCGCACGGATGGGGAGCAGATAATGGTGGTAAAAACATCAAAACTATGGGCTACATTTTTGTTCAATAACAAAGAAAGCTCCTATTTGGCTCCAAAAGGAGCGAACAGTTTTTTTTTATCAAAAGCAAAGCATAAGAGAGACTATGATTCTCAAGTAATGTCTAAGAATAAATTAATTAGCAAATGTTTTGTCTTGAATGGATGTTTGTGTACTTATCATCCCTAAAATGTTTTTTTGTAGCGCGAAAAACAAAACGTTTCCAGAGTCAAAGCCGTTAGGAGCGGGGAATTTTGACCTTTATAGAATTGTGTGGTCCGATTTTGTGATGCTCATGAAGTATATGCTAAGTGCAGATTTTTATTATGCAGGGCGTAAGCCGTAAAAATTGGTGGACACAATTTGAGAAACATCACCAGTAATATTCTTTCAAAGAGTTTCGTTCGCACGATATGGCTCAATGTGTCACGTGACCTAATTGCCTCAACTTGTACTAGGGAATACCCGGTGTTATTGTATAACTGGAATATAGTGTCGATCCACCTTTGTAATTTTGAAACTCCTCTACTTTCGAAATCCTTGCATGTCGTCTCTTTTATTTGTACAAAATGCCCATTTGAAAATAACTAGGTTGTGTGTTTTCGTGCGTTTCTCCCGTGGAACGTCTCACAAGCTAAATCAGAAATTACCTACATTCTTCCATTAATAGCAAAAAAACCCTGCAAAATTATATTCCAACGACTTCGGAGCACTCCTCAATGCACCTAAAAAGTTCCTATCAGCGGCATAACAAAAATTATCAAACCACAAAGTGGCAAGATAATAGTTATTGTATTCATATTGCTGTGTCTAGTTGAATAGTTGGTCAGTAGTTTCAAATAAATCATTATTTGGAACCAAAATAATGACCCGCTCCCAGTTGGCTTATTAGGGTTCAAATCCCGCACAGGACTGATTCTTTTTTTTGTTTTTGTTTGTTTGTTTGTTTGTTTGTTTTTCATCAGGCCTTAACTTCACTACTCAAGTAGTGTTCATTACTGCGTAGATCGCTCTCATATTCACGTCTTTAGCCGCAGTTCACATATGTGATTTTCCTATTCACAGTGATTTATTCATCACTTCACGGATTTTTTTGGAATCGACATAAAGCTTGTTAGCTCAATTAGTAGAGCACTGTACCGGTATCGCAG